GTTTCTCCATTTCACCTCCTGTTTTCTCCTGGATGAAATCCTGCAGGAACCGACTGAAATCTGCATTTTGTTCATATTGTTGCCTAGTGTATCCGTCTGCAACAAATAAGTGTTTTCCAAATCATCACTATGTCAGAACTAGCTCTGAAAGTAATGGAGAGATGGAGAATGAATGGCTAGTCACCATTTATTTCAAACTTTAGAAAAATTGCTTTTACAGTTTGAAGTGATTGTTAAGAATTATGGACATGTAGGAGGCAAAGCTTTCTTCCTCCTTGCCAGATCAGAAAGTATCCCAGTTGAACGTGTTAGCATATTTAGATTTAAAGAATTAATGTAATTTGCTTAAATACAGTCTGCGGGAAATTGCCCTACATCCAATACCCTACGTACGTAATCCTGCCCTTTCTCCTCACTCCCTCAAAAGAGGGAAAGAAAAGAAAATTAAGGATAACCATCTGAGTTAAGTGGGCGTAGCCATTATGTCATTATTTTCATTGTTTTTTGTTGCTTAAGTATTAATTTGCGTTTCATATAGTTGACTTTTGAGTATATACCAGGTTTTCAAGTTTTACTAAACTGCCTTTTAAGTTTTTACATGTCACCACTAAATATGGTTGGTATTTATCTAAACATTTACCCAAAATATTTAAGTAGTACCTTTACAAATCCAAAAATGGGGGTGCAGGTTATTTACAAATTCATTTTCATATCAACAGATAAACTTACTAAAAAAAATGAACAATAAATAAGCTTACTAGGGATTTCACTCTGCCAGAATTTAATTGTTACACAGTATGTCATGAGGTCTTTTGTGCATATCATTCCTCATTGTTCCTCAAAAGCTTATTTTTAACCTGGTACTGGGATACACTTGAGGAATGATGTTGAACTTGGTGATTAGGGTGCTGGGCTAGCTAAAGCCTGTCAAAGCCCTGCTACTAAAGGGTAGCATCATGTTAATGATGTTTTGAAGTTCTGTACCACAGCTGCTTCTACAGAAAGTCATACTCCAGAGTCCAAACTCGAATTACCAGAAGCGTATCTCCTAGCTCTGATGGGTGGGTTCAGAGACTTTGCAACTGCCCATAAACCGTGGCACTTAAGTTATTTCCACCCCCACAGTACCCAGTCTGTGTCAGGTTGCTCTCAGATCCTGAGAGCCAGAGATAAATCAACTTGTCTTCACCATTTTCACAGCTTGCGGCTTCAGATCACGTTTTTGCCCTCCCCAATCCATTGGAGGACTGAGGACAGTCTCGCGGTTCCTTTCTCTCCCCAGAACAATGTTTTGTGGTTTTCTAATTGCAGTGGCAAGCACCAGGCTTGTACTGAAACAGAGGCCCCAGGCAGGCTAATTTGATGTCTGTTCCCATATGTTAAGTCTGAAATTTGTTTACCTTTATTTCACAAAAAGGCTACAACTTGTTTACTTCCCTAGGGAATCCAAAGCTCTGTACCCACCATTAGAAGTATTTAGCTTCTACTGTTGGCACTTGGCCCTTTCTGGGGGGACAGGGAGGAAGGAAGTGGAAAGGGATGGTCTTTCTCCTCACCCCCAGCAGCAAACAGTCTGCACCTATAGTGCCCTCTCTGTGAGTTTCAAAGTAAATACAGTATTTTCTTTTTCTTGATGATACCAACAATTTGAAGACATTTTCTCTCTTACCTCTAGGGAGCATCATGGTAAAGTAGTTCCCATTTTTGCCCTTTCTTGCATTTCATTCATACTTGGGCGAAAATAGATGCATGAAAGAATGAAGTAAAACGATCAAGAGAATATACACTTCGTCTTCTTGACATTTAAGAGTTGCAGGAAGAGACTAGAGAAAAAGAGACAATCTTCCTCGCTTCCTCCTCAGACTGTCCTTGAGTGAGACAAAAGCTGGGCATGGGGTGGGATTGCAAAGGAAAGGCTCAGAGGGGAGTTTCTTGGAGCCCAAGAGAAGCGTTTTGGTTTTTTGTTTTGTTTTGTTTTGTTTTTCCCCCTGGACATGGTCAGTTCTGAAGAACTACAGTGATGGAGCTCCCCAAAACTCTGAAAGTAAAGGAAATAAGACTACCCCTTGTGTTCAAACAGGACAGTAATATAGAATGAAGCGCAGCAGAAGGAAAGGCACCCTACAACAGACATTAAAAACGGATGGCTCAGCAACATCCTGCTGGTATGTTTTCTTTGGCCTACATGGAGCTAGAGTCTTAACTGTATATTAAGACTAGGTGACTTCCCATGTAAGAGATTTTTGATTTCTTGAAAAAAAAGATAATGATCTAACACCATGAGGCCTCTATTATTCCCACGGCTGGCTCTTCCATCTCTGGTTTGCCACCGAGCCCTCCCTTTATTAAAACTTTTGCCCTTTCAATTGTCGAAGAGAACTAGAGCCAAATATTTAGTTAATATGACATAGATTTTAATCAGAACTTTGCAGTAGGGGAAAAGTGACCTCAGTATAAAACTGGGCTCAATCAGAATATGGTAAGGACAGGTAGGGATTTATAGCTGGGGAACAGAGGAGTAGAGGTGCGGGAGGTCCATAGATGGAGCATTTCTGAGAAGAGATGTCAAGGATGGGGGGTGGGATTCTTGCTGAGGGCAGGCCCTTGTGATCAGACCTCAAGGAGGGAGAGGTGGGGTTATTTAAGTCTGGCAAGGACAGGGACCATGGCAAGAAGAGGGCTCAGAGGAGCCTAAGTTTGGTCAAATAGCATCTTGAGGCCACATATCTTTCCTCTGACACCCGGGAACCCGTGAGGTCATCATTCCCGTGTAAAAGAGAGAGTAGACCTAAGGCTGCACTGTCCAGTTGGACTCGAGCACTTGTAATGGGCTCAAAATTTAACTGAGTTTTAAATCCTAATTAATTTTAATAAATTTAAATATAAAGCCTGAAGCAGTGTAAAACTTTTTCCCATTTAACATAAGTTTATCATTACAGTGGGACTGTATTTCACATTAAAGTGGGCTTGTAGTGCTTGTATACTTAAAAACACTTTTTAACGTAGGCACTAGAAACCTTAAATACGTGGCTCACATCCTGTTCCATTGGACAGTGCCGATCTACAGCCTTCTAAGACCTGACCATGTAATTCTGAAGACTATGTCTGATGTGATGAGGCAAATAGAGTCTAGAGTGGATTCCCCCATGATCACTTCCTGATGATGATCATGCCTTTAATCCCTTCCCTTTAAGTGTGGGCGGGACCTCTAACTTTCTAATAGCCAGCAGACTATGGAAAGGTGAGATGTTCCTCCTGCTATTCTGTTATGTTACATGAGACTCCATCTTGCTAGCAGACTGAGCTTGAAGCGACCCTTCCTGTCGAGTCTCCGGATGAGAACCCAGCTCTGGCCGACATCTTGTGTGCAGCCTTGATGAGGACCCCGATTAGCCATGCCCAGGATCCTGACCCACAAAAACTGTGAGATAATACATGTATGTTATCTTAAGCCATTAAGTGTGTGGTAATTTGCTGTTGAATGACAAAACATGTAGCCCGGGCAAAGTGGGGACAGTATAGAACTGAAGCCTAGCAAAAGAGCATCTATGCAGGAGAGTGAATCTTAACCAGTGTACTTTGAGTGTCCTCACCCTTTAGATAAGCAGTTCTCCAGGTGCTAATACATACACAAGTTGGCTCAGGTGAGCTTAACTTCCCTTGTTTTGATTTCACGCTCACAGAAAAACTTTGTTCATTATTATGCGCTCCCTGTATAGGTCCATTTCAGAGAGAGGGAGTTCAGGTCCATCTGACTTGTGAAGGTGAATTCATCAGAAGTCTTGTGAGATTTGTTTAATTGGTTGGGTCCAGGCCACTGGGGCATGGTTGAAATTGACCTGATTTTGCTGCTTGGAAGCCTGTTGGCTATAGTTTTAGTTGATTGCTGTATGAGACTAATTAAATAGTTGATCCCAGCCTCTGTCAAACTCTTCAGTGATCAGTAGAATGGTGCATTCATGAAAATTTCTCCAAGACTAAGATGGTGTAAAAACAAAGGGTAGAAATTGTTGAGAGATACTTTTCCATAGTTCTTTGATGTTGTCTGCATATTGTGAAAGCAGAGGCACTGACTATGTTTTCTCCAGACTATCTTTTTAAGGATGTTTGTGTAGTGAACAGCTTTGCTAAAGATAGAGGTGATATCTCCCTTTGAAGCAAAAAGCAGTGTTGCTTAAAGCCTTGGAAGGTAGATTTAGAGCAAGGAGCTTGCTTTGGAGCACGGACAGGCAGGCTTACCAGTATAAAAAAAATTGGGGTTCCCTAAACTCAGTGTTCCACTTTTGTGCTGCAACTTTCTGCATGTGCTGTTATTACCTGACCTCCTTCTCTCCTTGTGTTCAGGGAACTGGCACAAGAAAATGCTAACATTCTGCCTCCTGTTAGTATTGTAAACCATGCAGTCCTTTGTCTTAGACCCATGGATCTTGTGTCTTCTTTCAGCATTCATGGAACGGTGCATATCAACTTGTTAGCTTGCAAGTAAGGTAAAATCTCCGAGCCTTCATAGATCTTGAAACTTCTGTTGGATAACAATAATAGAGTCAAGATTTTATTTCTTATGCAATGGAAAGTAATCTAGTCATGATTAAACCTTTTCCAGAAAGGATTGGGTGTGCATTTATCCTTCCACTCCCAGGGAAAAAAATGTTTTTGTTTTGCTGGATAAAATTGCTCCATTTATGTCTGAGGCCTTTTGTATCAACGAGTGGATCTTCCTAGGAGTGAAGTTATCCAAGACCGTCACATCTTCTACACTAGCTTATTGTATTAACTTTTCCATGTCTTCATTTATATCACCTACAAATGAGAGAACCATATCTCTTAAGGTCCTTTCTAACTACAGTACTTCTAGGCAATATAAAAAAACAGTATCACTTTAATTTTATTTATTTGACAAGCCCTTAGATTTTTTTTTTTTTTTTTTTTACTATGGGACAGGTACCACCCTTAAGTGCTCTTCAGATAACCCTTAAACAAGGACAATGGTGTAGGGAAGGAAACTGAGGCAGAGAGTTAAGTAATTTGCTCAAGATCATCCAGCTAGAAAGTGACATAGCTGGAGTTCAAACCTAGGTAAATGTTGTATGCTTTTCTACGATGCTGTGGTGCTCTCAGATTTTCATGATTCACTTTCTGCCCTGTGAGAACTCAGGAAGCCACAGGAGAGAATGAAGCAGGTCGCTGCTCTTCAGAATCCACACAAGGTGAGAATTTTATGCTGGGGTGTATGTGTGTGTCCGTCCCACAGAAGGACTCCAAGGTAATCATTTGTATATAAGAATACCTCTTGAGAATGTAAAAGTGTACATTTTTAGGTTGACTAATTGGTTCCAGGTTTTTAAATGCCTTATTTAAGGTTGTTCCCATAAACCTTAAGGTTCTAATCTGTTGCCAGTAAACTAGGAGAGACATTCAGGGAACTGTGTAGACCTAATTGGCCAAAAGGCTTACCTATTTAATACCTAAAATAAGATTAATAAAATTATGTATAGAAATTAAAATATTTACAATGAATCATTTTCTTTGATAGTTTTTAATCAATCCACATCTCATTTATGTATGTTAATATGAGAATCTTCTGAGCTTCTAGTAATAGAATCTTTTTTGTCTTTGTGTCTGTATCTGTATTGTATCTGAGACAGTATTGGTCACTGTATTCATGTAAGTGTTGAGTGAATGATCATTTCAGTTTTATAGTATACGAGATGATTGTACGTACCTTGCTGGGCCCTGGCTGGGCCCTGGCAGGAAGCAGAATTACACTCAGGTGGCCCAACCGAACAGACTTGCATGCAGAAACTACTTACTGAAGACCAAGGGATGTTGAAGCACTGTGCTATTGTGACTCCTAGGTCAAAAGAGGCAGCTCTTATACAGCAGCTGCATGGAGCCCACTGACAGCTGGACTTCTGGAGGAGGGACAGACTGACAGAGCTGTGACTGTCCCAGGAAAGAGTGACAAGGAGGATGGACCTCACTGTGTCTCCTGCCACCCCCCCGGTGTCCTGCAATAATCCTCTCGTTGGCTGAGCCCTGCTGGAAGACTGAATGACACGGAGTGTCTAAAGGAGGGAGAAGGACAAATGGAAAATAGCCAGCATGCTAGAAACATCTGAAGTTGTCTCAGTCCATTCAGGCTGCTATAACAGACTGCCATAGACCACGTGGCTTATACACAACACAAGTTTAGTTCTTAGTTTTGGAGATTGGGCAGGTCAAGAACAAGGCTCTGGCAAGATGCAGCATCTGGTGCCGACTCACTTGCTGGTTCTTGGGAGGCTGTCTCCTCCCTATAGGTTCACATGGCAAGAGGAAAGGGGTAGGCAGCTCTCTTGGGTCTGTCCTGTAAACACTAGTCCCATTCACAAGGGCTCTGCTCATATGACCTACTCACCTCTCAAAGGCCCCACTGGTACCATCATGTTATTGGTTAGGATTTCAAGATTAATTTCAGGGGGATGCACATTCATTCTATAACAGGATTGAAGCATGCATTATACATTTAATGCAACTTGATTCACCACTTGCAAAAATATTAAATCTTTCCTCTGTTAGTTATGTCACCATGCATGTTTTATGAAAAGCCAAATGCGTTCTAGATGTTTTCCAGTTAACTGTTTAATATTCACTTTGCTAAGAATTTACATAAAGTCCTGAATTTAAATCATCAGTAGGTGGTGCTGCTGAGATTGAATCCTGAAAAATCTAAACTAGACATTTAATTGAAGATTATCTAGTATTCAGACAGGTTATTTGGGCAAGAATGTTACAAGCCAGTCCGTTTTTGATTCATTGTTTTTCACGACATCTGTAAAGCACTGATTTTTACCATTTTGGTTTACTTACAGTGTGGAATCATACTCTGGATTTGCCCAACAATCAAAGGAGCAGCAACTAAGTATCTCCGCAGAATCTGGAGGATGGGCTTGATCTAGAACATTGATAATGTTCTGACCTGCTGGGCTGGGGGGTAGGGAAGGTAACTATTGCCGTCTTGCTCTGATTTACTTTTAGAGATAGAAGCATTAAGTCGTAATGTATACCAAGATTTTTTAAATGATTGAATTTTAAAGTTGGAGAATTTTCTGGAGAAGAGTATTACTTGCAAGGAACTTCACAGCTTTATCTCTGGCATCATTCTATAAGACAAATATGAGCAATGATTTGTTGACCCACTGAGATACCATTTTCCTGTCACCCCTCAGGAAACAGAGTATCACCGGCCTTTACCAATAGGAATAAGCCCACAAGAACCATGGAGTTGTAAAGTGCCTAACCTGGCATGGATTTTAAATACACTGAAGTCTTCTATCGCTCAAATTAGATACTTGGTAAAATACAGATTCTCAGGCCATTTGCCTGAAGATTCTGAGGTAGCTAGTCTAAGTGTCCCAAGTGAACCTTCTGGTCACACTAGTTTGGAAAACACTAATACTCTGTAACTTCCTCTTGACCTTAGTTTTCTTACACACTTGACTGAGGCCTCACAAATATTTTACGGTTACCATCACCTTTGAGAAGTTGAAGAAAGCTCTGGACCTCTCCCAGAACAATATTTCTACCCAGAGTTTTACATATGATTTCAGATGCTTTCAGAGATCTTCGCAGTATGTCTGTATCATCTGTCTTACAAAACCCCATTGTATAGGATCAGCTTAACATTCCCCAGCCGAGATTTCACGCTTCCTGTAATCTTTGTCTCTCCTACTGTTTGAGCCTTGTGCCACATTATTCTCATCATACTCGGGAGCTACAAAGATGAGCATATTTTTTCAGATTATATTCCTGGACACATGGAAAAATTAAAATCAAAGGAACCAGAATGGTTTCCTTAAAGTGTATATGAGTTTGTCAAAATACAGAATATCATCTGTTAAGGAAATGGCTCTAGGTAGCATTTTATAGTTTTGGCGTTTTCTGATAAAGCAGACTGTGTTGATCCATCACCATAGATGTATCAATTTATTCTCAAAGACCAGCCTCTTGTTTAGAGCATAATTGGGGCTGGCCATGGGCATGGCCATACCACAGCAAAAGTCATTCTGCTTCCTTTCTAGTGGTGAAGCACAGAACTCACGCTGATTTCTCCAATCTTTTAACCAAAAAATTTGTTAGTGTGAGCAAACTAGGATTCTACCAGCAGGTAGACTTTGTGAAGTCACTCAAAGTTTTTAAATTATTGAGACTAATGGGTTTATTAGTCATCTGAATCAATTTATTAGCAGTCTGATTCTGACTGTACAAATTCAGAGTATTACTGATTCTGACTGTGATATAAATTCAGAGTATTACTATCATTGCAGAGGAAAGTCATACAGATTAAATATCTTTGGTCACATCACCCAAATAGGTGTTTAAAATCGAAATTATATCTGGGCCATTATCTCTGGTGGTGATTTAACCTTACATATTGTTTATTTCTGTATTTATTATCATGATTAGCTAGATGTGTACACGAAATTGGTTATTCGAGTTTAGGTAATATAGGAAAAAAACAACTATTATGTAGCAAGACACAGTTTCTAAAAACACTTGCAGACACTTTTAAAATATAAACATAGCTCTTTGTATGTATGAGATTTTTATTTCTTTAACTTCCTTTGTCTCATCAATAGCATAAGGTTGAAAATGGAATTCAGGCATTTGAGCACTAGTGGGATTCAACAGTGACCACGTGGACAGAAAAAGACTGCCTTGAAACACGGTGATTGTTGAAGAGACCACCTAAGGACGAATAGAAGCGAGGCAAGATTTTATTTATGGCCGGGCCAAACCTGATCTCCTGATCTCATGGAGAAATGCAGAGAATGGCCCCGAACAAAGGTGGCAGTGAGCTTGTATGGATCTCAGTAAAGCAGAGTATGTCATTAATTAGTTAACTATTACTTTCTACAGCATACTATGGTAGCCAATTGCATTGTGACACTCAGGTGTTAGTTTTGGCAGAGACCTATCAGTTTTAAGTTCTTAGTCTTGAAATGACCAACCAGAATTAGACATATGAGAAGCCGTGGGGTAGTGACTACGTCATAGACTACCAGGGTAGGATGGTGACGTGGTGTTCTGTAACCTTACGTACAGGGTGTGGGTGTGGTCAGCCAGAACAGGGAAATACAAGCTTGCCAAGTGGATTTACAGAAGCAGAAATAGCATGTTAGTATTTAGCCAGGATTCTGGTTAACCTACAACAGCCTGACCACCATCTTTTGAAAGTCTCATTTACAAGGTTGGCTCTCAGCTTACATCTGGGAACTTGTGTTTGGGGAGGGTTCTCATCACTGCCAGAATTGATCGGCGGCTCACTGTGCCCAAACTATTTGCACAAACGATGTGGTTTTGCTGAATCCCTGACTTCCTTTTGGGAGTCTGGAATTTGGGCATATGCCAAGCAGAGGGCATGTTAGTCCTCTAATAAAAAGCCCCAGGCACCAAGTCCAATGAGTTTTCCTAGGTGGCAACATTTCACTTATGTCACAACTTGTTGCTGGGGGAATTAAACTCATCCTGTGTTACTCTACTGCAAGGAGGCTATTGGAAGCTCATAACTGGTATCCAGATAATTACACAAAATACATAGAATTTGGTGAGTTTGGATATATGTATACACTCATATTACCATCGCCATAATCAAGGCAATGAACGTATCCATCACTGCCCACAGCCTCCTGATGTTGTTTTGTTGTTTTCATAGTGAGAACACTTAACATGAGATCTGTCCTCTTAACAAATTTTTAAGCACAATACCTTACTTCTAACTATTGGCACAATGTTGCATTAGCTGATCTCTGGAACTTACCTTGTAGAACTGTAACTTTATCCCCATTTAAGAAGAACTCCCCATATCTCCCTTCATCCCCTGGTAACCACCATTCTATTTTCTACTGGTATAATTTGGCTTTTAAAATTTTACTTGTTTACTTTTTCTGTTTTTTTAATTGTAGTTTAATTAACATGCAGTATTAGCTTAAGGCATACAAAGTAATGATTTAACAACTCTATATATTACTCCACTTTCACCCCAAGTATGGTCACCATCTGTCACTGAACATTGTTACAATATTAATGACTGTATTCCCTATGCTGGACTTTACTGTGTACTTACTGAATATTTTATAACTAGAAGTTTGTACTTTTTTAAAATGTTTTATTTATTTCTGAGAGAGAGAGAGAGAGAGAGAGAAACAGCATGAGCAGGGGAGAGTGAGAGAGAGAGGGAGATACAGAATCCGAAACAGGCTCCAGGCTCTCAGCTGGCTGTCAGCACAGAGTCCAACGCGGGACTCGAACCCATGAACTGTGAGATCATGACCTGAGCCAAACTTGGACGCTCAACTGACTGAGCCACCCAGGCACCCCGTAGAAGTTTGTACCTCTTAGTCTCCTTTATCTATTTCACTCATCCCCTGCTATACCTACCCTCTGCAATTACCAGTTTGTTCTCTGCATTTAAGAGTCTCATTCTTTGTTTCTGTTTTTTAGATTCCACATATAATGAATTTATCTTTCTCTGATTTATTTCACTTAACATAATACCCTCTAGGTCTATCCATGTTGTTGTGAATGGCAAGATCTCATTGTTTTTATGACTGAGTAATATTCTGTGGTGTGTATGTATACCACATCTTTATCCACTTTCCTATGAATGGATACCTGGATTGCTTCCATACTTGGGCTATTGTAAGTAATCCTGCAGTAAATGTTTGTAAGGGGACAGTCTAGTTTCATTCTTTGCATGTAGGTATCCAGTTTTCCTAGCACCATTTGTTGAAGAGACTGTCCTTTCCCTGTTGTATATTCTTGCCTCTTTTGTCTTAAGATTAATTGACCATTTATGCATAGGTTTATTTCTGGGTCTTCAGTTTTGTTCCACTGATCTGTGTGTGTTTTTGTACCAGTAGCATCCTGTTTAGATTATTACAGTTCTGTCATGTATCTTGAAATCTGGGATCATGATACCTACAGCTCTATTCTTTCTCAAGATTGCTTTGACTGCTCAGAGTCTTTTGTGGCTCCATACAAATTTTAATATTATTTGTTCTAGTTCTGTGAAGAATACTTTTGCGTTTTGATAGAGATTACATTGAATCTGTAGAATGCTTTGGGTAGTGTAGACATTTCAACAATATTAATTTTCTAATCCTTGAGCGTGGAAAATCTTTATATTTGTGTCATCTTCAATTTCTTTCATCAGTATCTTCTGGTTTTCAGAATACAGATCTTTCATTTCTTTGGTTAAGTTTATTCCTATGTATTTTATTCTTTTTGGTATAATTGTAAATTGGATTGTCTTCTTAATTTTCTTTCTGCTAGTTCATTATCAAATACAAACGCAAAAGATTCCTGCATATTATTTTGTATCCTACAACTGAAATCATTTTATAAGCGTTTTGGTAGAGTCTTTAGGATTTTCTATACACATTATCATCTCATCGGCAAACAGTGGCAGTTTTACTTCTTCCTTACCAATTTGGATGCCTTTTACTTACTTATTTATTTTATTGCTGATTACTGCAGCTAGGACTTCCATTACTCTATTGAATAAAAGTCTCAACAGTGAGCACCCTTGTCTTATTCCTGATTTTAGAGGAAAAGCTCTGTTTTTCACCATTGAGTGTGATGTTAGCTGTGGGTTTTTCATATATGGCCTTTATTATGTTAAGGTATGAACATAATACCTGAACCAATTTTGTCTAGAGTTTTTATGAACGAATGTTGTACTTTGTCAAGTGTTTTTTCCACATCTATTGAGAACATATGATTTTGATTCTTTGTTAATGTGGTGTATTTCATTGATTGATTTGTGAATACTGAACCATCCTTGCATCCCAGAAATAAATACTACTTCATCATGGTGAATGACTTTTTTTAATGTATTATTGGACTTAGTTTGCTTTTATTTTCTTGAGGATTTTTCCATCTATGTTCATCAGAAATATTGGCCTGTAGTTTTTTTTTGGGGGGGGGGGTGTTTGGTAGTGTTTTTATCTGGTTTTGATATCATGATAATGCTAGCCTCACAGAATGACTTTGGAAGTATTTCTTATCCTCTATTTTTTGGAATAGTTTGAGAAGAGGTATTACTTCTTTTTTAAATGTTTGGTAGAATTTACCGATGAAGCTGTCTGGTTCTAGACTTTTGTTTGTTGAGATTTTTTTGATTACTAATTCAGTTTTCATTGTAATTGGTTTGTTCTAATTTCCTGTTTCAGTTTTGGAAGATTGTGTGTTTCTAGTAACTTATCCATTTATTCCATATTGTCCAATTTGTGGGTATATTATATTCATTCTTCATTATATTCTTACAAGTCTTTGTGTTTCTGTGGTGATGGTTATTATGTCTCTTTCCTTTCTCATTTTATTTGAGTCCTCTCTTTTTCCCTGATGAGTCTGTCTAAAGGTTATTAGTTTTGTTTATCTTTTTGAAGATCTAGCTCCTGGTTTCATTGATCTTTTTTATTGTTTGTTTTTGTCTGTATGTCATTTATTTCTGCTCTAATCTTTGTTATTTCCATCCTTCTATTCACTTTGGGCCTTTTTCTTCTTTTTCCAACTCCATTAGGTATAAGCTTAGGTTGGTTGTTTTAGATTTTTCTTGTTTCTTGAGGTGGGTCCAGGTAGGCTTGTATTGCTATGAACTCTTCTCTCAGAGAAGAGTTCTCTGCATCCCAAAGTTTTTGGACTATTATTTTTTTTATTTTCATTCATCTCTACTATTTTATTTTCTTTTTGATTTTTCAGTTAATTCATTCATTTATTAGTAGCATGTTTTTTACCTTCCATGTATTTGTTATTTCCATTTTTTCTTGTAATTAATTTCTAGTTTTATACAACTCTGGTTCAGAAAAAATGCTTGATATGATTTCAGTCTTCTTGAATTTATTGAGAC